AGCAAACCAGAAACTCCAAAACCCGTTGATGGTGGTCGCGGGGGTTTCTGTAGGAGAGAATTTGTTGAGGCTCGGTAGTTGGCTCAGGAACAATTCTGATCAACTGATAAATTCGTTGACGATCGAGATCAGCCGTGTTCGTGACGAACTGTTGAAGGAGGCTGACATGGAAAGAATCGTAGATACCCGAGTCAGCCGGTAACTGTAACCGTGCAGTGACAGGTGTCACCGTCATAATAATTCCGAAAGGTCAACAGAATCTGAAGCGAAGTTTTGTGTGGCAAACTCAACCCTAAATTCTTGGTGTCAAGTATGACTAATTGCCCAGGAGATAGGGGTAAATCCCGTCTATGCTTGTAAGCATACCGTCGGAAAGTAAGATTGGTTTTGGAAATAGCCTTAGTAGCCTTTTTTATGTGCTGTCTGTATGCCTTTGACGAATCGCTGTAACCGTGGGGCGGGACTCTCAACTCAGGGAGTAGTGGGTGTCGTGGGGTTAAGGCTGTAACTCAGATAGAACGGAGATCGGGCAGTGGTGGACAAAGGGGCGTTAGTATACGTGAACTCGATCAAGGGGAGAGAACCTTCCCATTGAGTTGAGCCAGTACAAGTTGTCTGTATCAGCTGCTCCATGGTCTGATTTGTTCGTTCAGACTGATCGCCGGTCTGTGGGTGGTAAGCCGTGGACAGTTGGAGACGTGTACTGCACCGTTCCTACATTTTGTCTAGAAGTTGGATGTAAATCTGGGTTCACGATTGCTCATGATCACCTTCGGGATTCCGTGCATGCGAACGACGGTCGAGATGACCAGCTTGGCAGTTTGCTAGGCTGGGATCGTTGTTCGGCAGGGCGCAAAATGAGTCATTACCGTGAGTCAGCCAATGACCACGAGTACATCGTCATTCTTGGATGTGCTGGCCGACAGTCTTGTCATTAAGTCCATGGGCATGTATGTCTAGAGCTTGGTAGGCGAACGGTTGCAATAATCCAACTGGCCGTTGGCAGCAAGATTTCATGTGCTATCATCGAGGTAGACGATGACGCACTTGTACAGTAGCGAGCGGAAGACTTCATTCATTGTCAGTTGAAAAGTTGAGGGCGCGTTCGTCAACCCAGACAGCATCACTAATCACTCGTAACTTCCGTAACGGGTTCAAAATGCAGTCTTCGGAATATCAGCTACAACGACACGAATCTGGTGGTAACCCGCTCCATATCAAACTTGGAGAAAACTTGGCCCCGCGAAGTTGGTCGATAAGATCGTCGGCTCGTAGAATCGGGTAACGGGACGTGATGGTGATATCGATGAGCGCACTATAATCGGTACACATCCGAAGCCCTCTGTCCTATTTGGGGGTGAAGATAATCGGGGCGGTGTAGGGTGATGCGGATGGGCGGATGAATTTTTCCTCCAACAGATAATCCAGTTGGGTACGCAGCTCCTACAGTTTTGGCTGACTCAACCTCCATTGGGATCGGACAGTTGGTTGCGCTCCAAGTTCCAACTCGATAGTATGATCATGTGGTCATTCGGATGGGAGGTCGTCCAGCAGGTTAATATGAAATATCTTATTGTACTTGCATTTGATCTTTGCCAGGTCCTCAGGTACAGCAGCACATAGCTTCTCGAGGTCGGCCTATTCAGCCACAACAGTAGATGTGATCCATTAGACGGCATAGATGGCCACGCCTCGTGCCATCACACTTTTGATTGTCACTTGGTTAACACTTGTTGACTGGGGGTCGGGCGGTTACAACTTTGGTAACTGTCGCCACTCGCCAATGCTGGGATTATACGTGTGAAGCCGGTCGTGCCCCAGGAGCACATCGCAGCCGTCCAACGTAGTCACTAGCATCTGCATGATAAAGCTGACTTGGCTGTCGCAATCGATGCGAACGTATTTCACTCGCTCCCGGATTTTCGGCCCTAACTTGATCCCAAGTCGCCTCGAACCCATTTTGACCCCGTCACCCTCGGGACTATCGAGCCCTTGACTGGTCCAACCCTCGACATTCAACCCTGGTCAACACACCTATATATTGCATAGGCCTCATTATTCTGGACATCATTGTAATCACTTTCCCCTATAGCATTATGCGCTATACTATGAGTTATTATTCATAACAGCTGGTATCGGAGCTATGTTCTTGCCCATTAGGCTTGCGGTAGGGGAGCAGACCCTATCGGGGAAGGGGGCGGAAGGATGCTGATGGCGAGTGGACGTCGCGGAAATTAATTACGCGCGCGTTGCCGATGCCGTCAGATCCTGTCCGATGGACAACTGGGATTGGCCGGTCCTCCCCTTCCCTGAGCGTAGATGGAATTATTTCCCGTCGAAGAGTGGGCGACGTTTTCGTCGTGTTTTTCGAGTATGTTCGTTAAAGATTTTGTGATTTTCGGGTGTTCGGATGGAGTATTTGGATTGGCTTCCACAAAAAGAGAAGGCTTCGTCCGGAGAAGACAAGTGCACGTGAGTCCTCAGGCGGCCGAGAGTTGGTCGTCAGGAGCGCGAGGGGTGGCAATTATGGCGGGATGTACGGCGATGTACGTTTGGCATGCCATGCAGCGAAAGGGTGAACTGTAGCTGCGTCGCGGGTCTCGTCATCTCCGGCAGGCTAGTTGCAGGCGATGGACGGGACTTCAACACTATTTTGGCAATGGGCGGATCCGACAATTTCGGAACGACACGATCGCACGAGGACGTGTGGGTGTGCAGTTGTGTGGGAGCAGCTAGGATTAAAGCCCGACCGGCAACTATTTTTTCTCAAGGTGCTGCATCTTGAGGTCCCTGTAACCGAGCAGCCAGCGTCAAACTGCCAAGAGCTCGCCATGGTTTTAGGCCTGGCAGGGCTGGCAGGACTCTCGGAACTTGGCAATGATGCACCCCTGTAAAGTATCGAAGGGATGACGGGGGCTGAGCAGGTTTGGGGTAGAAACCTTCGTATTTATTTTTAACCACGGACGGGTACACCTGAAAAAGGATCTTGTAGCCCTTTGTTTTGTACCCCGAATTGGCGACATGCTTTTACCTGTTCTCGGCAAAGTATAACAACCGTATTTTGTTTCTATTTTTTTCTACCCTGATTTTTCTTGACGAAAAATACCAACCAGCTCACGCCCCGGAAACTTGGCAGAGCTGCCACGGTGGATTGCTGCGGAAGGGAGAGGCATGAAAGTTGACAGCTCTGCCAAGTTGTGAAGGTGCTTGCTTGCATGAAACTGAAGCTAGCTCGGCGAAGCCTAACCCTTGCTTGAAATTTTCGCCTCACTTGTTTTTCGTTAGCCAATCATAGTTTGCTGCCCCACCTACCTCAACAGTGCCAATATGCAACCTGCTGGTCGGGCTTTAACGACCTCGGTGCAATTCACCACGACGACCATCTGGAGGTGATGACGCTATGCTGGAGTGAGTGTACTCGGCGAGGGCGACTTCCTGCGTGGGGAGGCGTTTTTCGTGGACCAGCGATTCATACCCCCACGATCAACGGAAACGGAGGCCACCACCCCTGGGTGTGTATTAAGTGCTCTTCCATCGGTCGCCGAAAGCGTTAACTGCTAGGAGTTGAAGTAGTGGGAGAAGAACGACGGGAGTACTGGAGCAGATGAGTTAGCGGCGTTCAGGCTGCTGCTCGCTCAGCTACGTCTTCCGGAAATCACCATTCCCACCAGGTAGCAGTGTCCACATATTAATCGACGGCTTCTAGCTGAATAAGGGGGGTGAACATGTGAACAACACTGTGCTGATGGATGTCGTGCTTCTCTCTTCTCTCCCATTCACTTCACCTATCCTTCCTCATTGCTTCTCTTTCCTTCTTGGTGACCCTTCCACCTTTGGTAGGTGATTACTGGAGCTGTAGGACCGAGCTCTCCTGTTACAAGCCACACGCCGCCTGCTCGGATCTGCTTAAGACCGAATTCCCGCACTGCCAAACTCCTGTAGGATTAGAGCAAATTGCAGTATAGAAGGAAAACATACAAGCAAAAAGCAAATGTCCTACTGAGTCACCTCCTATTTACACGTCCACCTCTCTCCCTTTCTCACCCTTCCTCCTCGTTATCCCCTCGGGAACTGATATTGCCCTTAGCTCAGGTTCTCGTCAAATCAGCCCCATGCTGACGCACTTCGCCCTCTTCCTGCATGCGCCTCGACACTCTAACATTCCAATTCCTCCTCCCTCGATTCGCCCATTCCCAAATTCACTACAGTATTCTACTGTACCACCCCTTTTTGTTCAGCCTATGCTTTCTTGTATATCCCATCTTCCAATTCTTCTCTTTCATCCACTCACCACTTCCCTTGCTGCTGTGTCAACCGCGGGAAGGCTCCTGTCGTTCTGCGGGTAACGCGATAGCTGTCGTGCTTCTCTCTTCTCTCCCATTCACTTCACCTATCCTTCCTCATTGCTTCTCTTTCCTTCTTGGTGACCCTTCCGCCTTTGGTAGGTGATTACTGGAGCTGGAGGACCGAGCTCTCCTGCCCCCTCCCTGGTCGAATCGGACGCCTTGTTCGCTTCGGCTCTCGGACTCTGCTGCTTGGTCCGCCTTTCTCCGGCTGCCGCGGCGTTTGTTACATGCTCTCTCCTTGTTTCCCCTTTCCCGTTCTCCACCACTAACACTCCCGATGAGTGAATCTCTTTGACGCGCCACCTCTCACTTCCTATTGGTAGCTCCAATGTATCTTTCCGCGCCTTTTTCAGGTACACCTCTCTTCCCACGGTCACGTAGCTGGATGTCCCTCCTGTCACTTGTTCTCGGCGTTGCTGATATCTGCGTGCATACCTCAGCTGCGCGGTATGCAGATTTTCCAGCGCTGCTGGCATCAGCTCCTTCAAATAATCCCCTCTCCGCATCGCGCCTGCCGCCCATGCTTCCGCCGACTCTTCGTTCATCGGCTCGGTAAGTAGCTTAGGCACATCCACGAGCAGCACTGGCTCTCTGCCGTATAGCAAGTGGTATGGGGACATATCCTTCAGCGCTGATTGCTTTGCGAACCGGTAGCCCGCCAGTACCCATGGCAGCTCTATGTCCCACTCTCTCTTCCTCCGTTCTTCGTACACCGCCGTCCATTTTTGATCGTCTGTATCATCCGCTCGGTTAACCCGTCAGACTGAGGGTGGTACCGCGACGTAACTCTGTGAGTGATGCCTGCTTCTTTCAAGATTTCAGCAAAGCTGCCTTGGAACTCCGTGCCTTGATCTGTCAGCACTTCCCCGCAGGCACCATACGTGGTGAGTATTTGATCCAGAAATGCCTCCCTTATCAGCCCGCTGTTCTTGCTGGCGATGGCTCTTGCCTCCACCCACTTGGTCGTGTGCTCTATCATCACCACTATGTACATCTTCCCTCGTCTGGATAATGGTAGTTCACCGGCCAGGTCCAAGGACCACCTGAATCCCAAGCCCTGTATGGGTAGAGACCGCAGTTCTTCCCTTCCCTTCTCCAGCGCTGCCTTGTTCCGCTGACATGCCTCACACCCCTGCACCCACTTCGATACGTCTCTCCTCATCCCTGCCCACCAGTAAGTGGTTTGTAATAGCTGCCTGGTCCTGGCTCCCCCGTAATGCCCCAGCTTCTCATACACTTGTTGTACGATGCGCTCTCTCTCTTCCGGCCTTGGCACCATTTTCCATCCCTTTGTCGTCCGAAGCTGCATCTGACTCTGAAACCACCGGTAGTGTCCTCCTCTACCCCTCGCTCTCGCCGTCACTGCTGCTGCATCCTCTGTCAGCCCTTGAGCCCAGTGCAATGTCTCCTGGTCTTGCCAGATGTCCTCTGCTCTTTGCTCCTTCGCTTCTTGCGCTAGATCTTTCTCTCCCTGCTTCATTGCGGCTGCTGCCCACTGCTGTTCCTCTTCGGGTGGAGGGTTCCTGGACAGACCGTCAACATGTTGCAGTGTCTTGCCCGCGCGATGCTTGATGACAAAATCGTATTCCTGCAATCTCATTGCCCATCGTGCATTCCGCCCCGTCAGCGTCTGATTAGTCATCAGCCATAGGAGTGGCTGGTGGTCTGTTACTAGCGTGAATTTGCACCCTTGCAAGTAGGCCCTGAAGTGGGTTACTCCCCACACTGCTGCCAATCCTTCACCCTCATATGAGCTGTAGTTAGCTTCCGTTGCTGTACAGCTTTGACTGGCGTACGCCACCACTCGCTCTTCTCCTCCTAGCTCTTGACACAGTACTGCTACCATGCCCATGCTGCTCCAGTCCGTGTAGATTGTGAACGGCGCGTCTTTCTTTGGTAGCTGCAGCACCGTCCCTACCTTGATGGCCTCTAACAGGTCTCTTCTTGCCTGCTCCTCTTCTGGTCCCCACTTCCATGCCTGCCCCTCCCTCAGCAGCTGATTCAGCCTATATGTTCTCTTGCTGAAGTTCGGGATAAAGCGCCGGTAGTAGTTCAAGAACCCCAGGAGTGCTCTCAGGGCTCCCTTGTCTTTTGGTGCCCCCAGCTTGTCCAGCACCGCCCCCTTGGCCTCTTGGATCTCCATCTTCCCGCCTTGCACCTCAAATCCCAGGTAGGCCACCGTCTTTCTAGCTATTTTGCATTTCTCTGGATGGCAGGTCAGCTCTGCGGCCGCTATAGCATCTAGTGTTGCCATCAGGTGTGCAGCATGCTCTTCTTCGCTTCTGCTGAAAATCACTATGTCATCTATGTAGCACGCTGCTGCTGGCACTGTCTTCAGCACTTGATCCATGACTCTCTGGAACACGGCTGATGCGTTCCTCAGCCCAAACGGCATCACGTTCCATTCATACAGGCCGTCAGCTCCGTGGAAGGCCATCTTGCCTTCGTCTCCTTCTTTTATCGCTATCTGGTTGAATCCCTGTCGCATATCTAAATTCGAGAATATGACCGCGCCTTCTAACTTGTCAAAGATCTCCTTTGCAGTTGGCATGCTACAGTATATCGGTCGGCTCTCGTTCCTCGATTTAGTTCTCGGTAGTCGCCGCACATTCTTCTCGCCAGCACCTCTCCTGTGAGATCTGTCCTTGCTGCTACCACTGTTGCTGCCGCGCAGGCTGAGTTAGAAGGGCGTATCAGCCCCGCATCCAGCAGTTCTTTGCATTTGCTTCGGCAGATCTCTTCATCTCTCGGGCTCATCCGTCGTCTTTGCTGGTAGATGGGCACTTCGGTCTCCAGCGGTAGCTCCAACTCTTGCAGCGTGCACCTCCCCAGGTCTTGCAAGGTGTAGGCGAATGTCTTACGATGGCTTTTTAGGGCTTGCTGTATTGTTCCTGCCACCTTGCCGTCAAGGTCCGGGCTCAGCTCCCACTTTTTCTCTCTCTCTTTCTTTGGATCCTCTCCCTTCTTCTTGTCCATCGCCTCGCCCTACGTTTCTTCTTGCGTCAGGTAAGCCCGGCTTAACTTGATCAGCTTCCTTTCCCCTTCTGTTGGCCGTTGGCTCGGCTCTCGTTCGTGTTGCTGCCGCATCATTTCCTTCAGCAGCCACTGTAAGGCATGCTGATCCATTGCTCTTCCCAAGGCGGCCCCTGCGCTCTTGCTCCCTCACTCCTCGTGCTGCCGTTGCCCCCGGCAGGTATCCCATGGCTAATTCTTGCTCGATTGCTATCGGCTCCACCCACTGCCCTCTCTCTGTGTTGTAGACCATCCCTGGGCGTGGCTTGCCATCTTCCAGCACGAACCCGCGTGCTCCCTCATAGGCCACTAGGGTGGGCCAGGCTCTTCTCGGCTCGCCCAACTTGTTGCACTGCAGCTGCTTCGGGTGATCTCTTTTTCTACAAGAGCGCGCTGTATCCCATTAGAGCCAAGGCCACGCTGAGGCAGGTATATCAGATCGCTAAAGAAGCTGAGGAGGGGAGACGCTATGTGGACATGATGAGGGGAGCCCGTAGACCCCCAAAGAAGAGAAGACCGATGTGGTCAGCAACAGAAGTTCGTCGACCGGAAGAGGATAGGAGGGAGAGGCCGAGAGATGATCGGCGATGTCATAAGTGTGGAGTGGTGGGCCACCTCCACAAGGACTGTGTGATGGGCATCACGTGCGACCACTGCGGGCAGATGGGCCACTTCAGGAGGAACTGCCCCAGAGCTCCCACCTGCAGCGAATGTGGAAAAAAGGGGCATCTGAGCACCCAGTGCTACCGTAGAGGAGGACAAAGGGGGAAAGCGTCGAGAGAACAAGAGCTAGAGCAAGAGGTGAAGAAGCTGAGAGTGCAACTCGGAAAAGCAAAAATCAGCGAAGATCCAGAGAAAGCGATGATGGCGTGGGAGGACGAGGATGAGGATGAGGAAGAGGATCAGGAGTCTAAGTCCGCGATGGTGGCGATACCACCCCGAGAAAGAGAAGATCTGGGACTGCGCTTGTATGTTACAAGCCACACGCCGCCTGCTCGGATCTGCTTAAGACCGAATTCCCGCACTGCCAGACTCCAGTAGGATTAGCGCAAATTGCAGTATAGAAGGAAAACATACTAGCGAAAAGCAAATGTCCTACTAAGTCACCTCCTATTTACACGTCCACCTCTCTCCCTTTCTCACCCTTGCTCCTCGTTATCCCCTCGGGAACTGATATTGCCCTTAGCTCAGGTTCTCGTCAGATTAGCCCCACGCTGACACACTTCGCCCTCTTCCTGCATGCGCCTCGACACTCTAACATTCCAATTCCTCCTCCCTCGATTCGCCCATTCCCAAATTCACTACAGTATTCTACTGTACCACCCCTTTTTGTTCAGCCTATGCTTTCTTGTATATCCCATCCTCCAATGCTTCTCTCTCATCCACTCACCACTTCCCTTGCTGCTGTGTCAACCGCGGGAAGGCTCCTATCTTTCCGCGGGTAATGCGACATGGAGTGTCCCCAAAATTTTAGGAGTCACTGTTGCAATGCAGCTGAGGGTTTTTACTTGGTGCAGCAGAAGGAGGTTCCGACTTTTGTGGGCGTAGTTTGACGGGTTTCCGACGGAGGAGGGAGCTGTCCAACGGTCAGTAGGTGAGCTCGTTAAAGCTCCTCTGACAAGAAGCGTGCGCATTCCTATCTCTGCGGATTCTCCTAGTTAGTTAAGCAGCAGCAAAGCGGTTTTGGGTAACCTGCAGCAGCCGCGAGATGGGTGAACTTCTGCACGGCCAGCTGGCAGGAGTACCAGCGTATTTTAAAGTTGGGTAACAGCTGGGTGGAGATTGACGGCGTATGATGCGCATTGAACCTAATCGACGGCCAAAACATCATGCCGAGGTGGTGGTCTCCGGTAAACCCTAATATAAAGGGTTCAGTTCATGTGTATAGCTGGTGGAGAAACCGTGGGGGCACTGCTAAAGGACGTCGTGATGCCTGGGCATTTTTACGGGTAGCTGTGAAACGGAGTTACAGCATTTGCTTAGTACCGAGTAGTTCCAACATTTTCGGTGGGTTTTGAGGAGCAGTTCAAGAGTTTACATCTGGAGTTGTGCTCGCTATCTTCAAGAGTACGAGCGACATCGACTGACATTTGCGGAGTGTTTTGGTTGTACGGAGCGGAGGGAGAGCAGTAGCTGTTTCGGTTCTTCCCGAATTTTTCGGCGTGTATGGACTAAGAAGCTGATGCACCTAGCATCATTCGACCACGGGTTTCGTTCAAGGTTTTTCAATGGAGTGGGATTCATATAGGTTACTCTCCATCGTCATCGTTGTCAGCCTCTCGCCATCACTCGCTACCACCTCCATCGTCAATTCGCTTGATTTGCCTGACAATGTGAACACGACCTCGACTCGCCATCAGAATCAAAACAGCAGTATCGGATTCACAGACAATTTGGAAGCGGTACTGTGGAGCTGTATTAGGACCAGCTCGCAAGCGGTGTTCCTATTCATGCAATTTTTTCAGTTTGTCTGGGAGTCTTCCGGAGCAGTTTACCCTGCAGAGTATGAAAATTCTCATACTCAGCTTGTCTCAAGACCATTAGAGCGGCTTACCTTGCAGAGGCATTTCAACTTTGGAGCACCTTTCGGAATTATAAAGGTTGGAGTTTTTTGCAGTGGCATCTTCGAAGCTGAGTATGAGAATTTTCAGCAGCAGCGTGGGATTCTTTCGACTACCCTGGAGCTTTGGGTTTCCTGGAGTTTTACCTGGGAACTTGGGAGCTGTTTCTTCTTAAAGGGGGGAGAAGTGCATGTCAGACATATATTGTATATTGTTATAGACTATATAGGGTTGTGCCTTCGGGAGTACAACCCATTAGGATATATTCCCTTGTATGTCACTGTTCTAGTCATTCGTTCACTTTGATATGGTATCATGAGTAGGTTAGGTCCCCCCCGCCCACCAGCGCTTCCGCCGTAGGTCCTAGCCGCCTCGTCGCCCGTGCCGACCCCGTCTCCTAGCGGCCCCGAGGCCCCGTCACCTAGTGGCCCCGCGGCCCCGTCACCACGCAGCCCCGTGGCCTCGTCACCTAGCGGCCCCACGGCACTGTCACCTAGCGGCCCCGCGGCCCCGTCCCCTCTCGGCCACGCGGCCCCGTCACCTAGCGGCCCCGCGGCCCCGTCACCTAGCGGCCCCGCAGCCCCGTCACCTAGCGGCCCCGCGGCCCCGTCACCAAGCGGACCCGCGGCTCTGTCAGCTAGCGGCACCGCGGCCCCGTCCCTGAGCGGCCCCGCGGCCCCGTCACCTAGCGGCCCCGCGGCCCCGTCCCCTAACGGCCCCGCGGGCCCGTCCCCTAGCGGCCCCGCGGCCTTGTCCCCTAGCGACCACGCGGCCGCGTCACCTAGCGGCCCCGCGGCCCCGTCACCTATCGGCCCCGCGGCCCTGTCGCCTAGCCGCCTGAGGCCCCGTCGCCTAGCCATCTCGCCGGCCCCGTCGCCTAGCAAGCCCCGTCACCTAGCAGGCCCCGTCGCCCAGCAAGCCCCGTCTCCTAGTCGGCCCCGCCTTCTAGCCGTTCCCGCTTCCTTGCCGGCCCCGTCGCCTCGCAGGCCTAGTCGCCCAGTCGGCCCCGCCTCCTAGCCGACCCTGTCGCCTAGCCGCCCCGTAGTCCAGCCGGCCCCGTCACCTCCATGCCTAGTCGTCTCCCAGATGCCTCGTCGCCGTCCTCAGCCCTCTGCACTGCGCGGCACCGCACTGCACCGCTCTGCACCACTCTGCACTACTCTGCACTGCACTGCACCACATTACACTGCTCTGCACCGCACTGCACCGCTCTGCACCACACTGCACCGTACTGTACTGCATTCCACTGCCCTGCACTGTATGGCACCGCGCAATACAACGCTAGACCGCACATCACCGCTTTTCGCCGCACCCTACTGCTCAGTACCGCCTTTCTACTGATGTAGCGACCATGATGGCGGACTCGGTCCTGCGTTTTGATGCGGAAAGGCAGCCGATTGAGTTCGACTCGTGGCTCGTCGACCTCCAACGACACCTGACTGGTCAGCGGCAGGACGGCCACTCCCTGGCCGTCCACATCGACGGTACGCTCCTCTGCCCTGACCCCCCTGCTGCTCTACCCGCTGACCCCACGTCTGCTGACCGTGAGTCTGCTACCGCTGCTACCCTTGCCCGTGCTGTCTGGTTGTCACGTGTCGCTGTCGCACAGCTTGCGATTAGTCATGCCCTCCCCCTGTCCCAGCGCCCCCGCTTTAGGTTGGTCAGGACTGAGTAGGAGTTTTTAGAGGCTGTTGTCGCCCGCTATTCCACCCCGCCCTCTGCCTCCGTTGGTCACCTGATCCTGCCCATGCTCTTTCCTAATCTCGCGTCTTTCCCTACTGTCGCTGACCTGGCCGCCCACCTGCGCATGCTAGACACGACCTGGCACGCTGCCTGCACTGAGGTCCAGCTTCGTGTGTTTCAGCCCCCTATCTGCTCTACCCTCTACCTGCTTGCCACCCACCTCCCTGACCGCCTTGCCACCACCCGCGATCACTTCCTTAGTCTCCACCCCGCTGATCTCACCCTCATTGACTTTGTCGACACCCTG